CCATAAATGACCTTGTCTGTGCCCTGCTTTGAGCCGGTCGGTTTTCCATTTTGTGACACTCGTGGCTGTGCTGGATGGCCAGGGACTCATGCGCCCTGATCTTTGGGTGCAGCTCTAGCACTGTATTAATCTCAAGTTGTCTGTGTCAGGTTGTGATTTATGGAACTCTCTAGAACTCTTTATGTGTTGATGAGGACATGGAGAACTTGGAACTCAGACTCTGCTGGAGGAACAGAAAATGAAGCAGCCACTTTGGAAAAAACAGTTCAGCACTTCCTGAAGAATTTAACCCTTCCTCTCATGTGGTCCAGCAGTCCATTCCTAGTTATTTACCCAAGAGAAGTAGAAGGGTATGTTCCTGCAAAGCCTGAGTTCCATTTTATTTTTGATTGACATCTAGTAATTGCACACCCTGACATGGTACAATGTGAAGTTTCCAATCACGTATTACATTGCATGATGATCAAATCAGGGCATGGAACATATCCATCACCTCAAATATATATCTGTTTCTTTGTAGAGAAATGTTCAAAGCCTCTCTTCCAGCTATTTCAAAGTGCACAGGTCATTACTGTGGACTGTATTAAGCCCACTGTGCAATAGAATTCCAGAACTTATTCTTCCTATTGACCAACCTCTCCATTCTTCTTCCCTTGGCCTCTCCTCACCTCTGGAGACTGTACACAAGTGTTGACAATAGCATTATGCCATTGCCATAAAGTGGAAATGCCACAAATAGCTGTCAGCCAGCCAGAGGACCCAGGAGCTGAATTACATCCACATAGTGGAATGCTACCCGGCAAGAAAAAATGAACGAACGTGCAGCAAAACGGATGGATTTCAAAATTAAGCTGAAGGAGAGAAACCAGACAAAAAGAACTCAGGCTAGGAAATGCAAAATGATCCATAGTAAATGAAGTTGGCGGTTGCTGGGGGGAAAGACTTGGGTAAGCCATAGCAAACCGAGAGGTGGAAAGTTGTGATGATGGACACATTCATTATATGGATGTGGTGACGGTTTCACGGGTGTATTTATGGATCAAAATGCCAAATCATGTACTTTGGACATGTACAATTTGCCATAGGTCAATTATGCCGCAAGGGAGCTGATAAACATTCCCGTGTGTGGCTGCCTGGGGCCAAGTGTCCATCAAGGTCAGGGTTCTGAGGGCAGTGCCGTGCCAGGGCTGGGGTGCTGGGTTTCTGTTTTCGTGACTAAAAGGCTCAGGGGTCACTCCAGTTGAACTGGGCTGACTGGGCTGTGCAAAATAACCACACAAGAGACACAAATACCTTTTTCTTTGGGGTCGCTGTGACGGCTCCTCTGACCTTAAGGGTCCCCAGAAAGAGAGAGCGCGAGAGCACGCGCTGACCCCTTTTATTGAGGAGAAGCTATTCAAATGAGGCAAGGGGTCAGGTTTCAGGGGGCTGAGTCTAGCTTCATGATGTCCACTGTCAGCAGGTTGACTGACATCTGGGTAGGCCACACCCAAGGGCACAGTAAGAGAGGGGGACACACCCAAGGCACTTCCATGGAAGATTCTATCCTAAACAGGGCAAGGGGTTATATTACAAAGGAACAGGTGAGCATAGCTTCACCCATGGGGCTGTAGCAAGACACACTGACCCTCGAACCCAAGAAGGGTGGGGGCTCTGCCACATTTCTGTGACTGATCGCCTCAGCACCCAGCTGGGGAGTGTGACTCAGTCACGTGCAAGGTTGGTCTCCCACACTGGGGGATGCTGTAGAGAACGTGAGGAATACAAAGGCCTCAGGGCCCTGCAGCTGCTTCTCACGCCACAGAATCATTTAGAGAAACAATGACAATCTCAGCTTCCCCACATTCTCAGTGCAACTTGCCGGTTGCAAGCCTGGTTCCTGTGGTTACCACACTAAACAATCTCTTGTCTGTTTCAGTCATAAGGTTGGAGAATCAGAAAAACCACACTCAGTCCTTCACCATCAGGGCTGCCAGGTGGCAGACTCCAGGGTCAGGAAGCATCTCCCCCGACGGCTCATTAGACAAAGGCCATGTTCCTGTATCCTGAGCTCTGGACAGCCTCCAGGGGTCCATGGCAAAATCAGAACCCGTGGTGATCACGACACACGCACAAACATGCGTGTGACAGATCATTCTATTGTGCACCTTGAATTTATTGAATCTTTGTCCATTAAATATTTTAAAATGAAAACTACCTTAATTCCTCAAACAACCATGAAAAAAGTAAAAAACAAAACAAAACAAACAAACAAACAAACAAACCCAGAGGCCAAGGATTACACAGAAAATAGAACATTGCTAATTAAACATGGCAAAAATTTGGGATGTACATGCATTCAAGGGCAAATCAGTCAAGGCAGGACCATGATTGTCAACTGAACTCGTTTTATAAATGTGCAGGTCGGAGTCTATGTTCATTGCACCAATTAGAGTGGCTGGAAGTAAACCTCGTGCTTTGCCCATCTAAAACCTAGCTTTGCTCCTCCCTAGACAATTAAGATGCCAGAAATGACTCAGGATCATGTAGAAGAAGCAGCTAAAATATTCTGGGAGGAAGGGATGAGATCTAGCCTGTCTTTGTAGCCATGATGATTAAGAAGACTCTGCTGCCATTAAAATGATCTTCTTGGTGACGGTAGGGAAGAGGGAAGTCGGGGGAGAGTCCAGCCTGTACAGGATCAGCAGCACTTGACTCCCCGTGGGGAAGGAGAATACTCACCACTTTAGTGATGTAGTCTCAGTGTCATCTTTTCCCCCAATTCATACATTGGAACCTGATACCCATTTTTATTGGCAGCGATGGGGATGCACCTAGGGCCTAGTGCATGCTAGGCCGTTGCTCTAGCACTCAGCTACTTCTCCCTCCCTCCAGACTGAGAAGGGTGAATGGTTCCTAACTGGACACTCAATGCTTGCCCTTGAAGCTTCAAGTAGTCATTTTACCTCCAAGGCCCATTACAAGCTGGGGAATAGCTAATCCACTTACCCGTAAATCGGCTCTGCTGAGGATAACAAGACTCCAAGGCACTTTCCAGTCCCATGGATCCTGTATGAGCATCAGGAAGACACCTGAAAACCTTTTCAATTTGGAAGGAGCCGTACAATAGATGGGAGTGATGTGTGCAATAATACTCGGGGTGCAGCATTTCCCACATGTATTTCTACTGTGTGTGGAGCTAGAAGAGAAGAATCTCAGTGTAGGCGCATCACAGGATGAAAAGGGCCCAGGTCATGGTGGTGATGTGTTCAGGAGACACGTCCAACTCATACCAGCCAGAATATGAGGGAGAAATAATTTTCCCTGTGCTCCTCGACTGACAGAGGAAGCTGCAGGCAGCAGCATCTGGTACCAGTTGCCCTGAGTAACAATAAGCATCCTCTTGTAGTGTTTAGGGGACCGAGTGTAAGCAGGTCCTACGGCACTGCAGGCTGCATGAGCCAGTGGTGCACACTCCTGGGAGAGGCTCCCTGCCCCACCCCCATTTATGGCTTTGGGGGCATTCGTTATATGAACACTAAAAGGCTTTCAAATAAGTTTTCCCTTTCTGCTTAAATTAACCTGAGTCCAATTTTGAAGGAAAAAGGGAGGTTTTGCAAAACACAGGCCACAACCAAGGTGACACAAATCTACCTAGAAAACCAACTTGGTCCTTTCCTAATTCTGAAAACAGGAATCATAAAGAATTCAATATATGTGTGCTGTACATGGTGACCAAAAAATAGAGCCAACGTGTTGGAAAGCGTTTCCAGCTAGTTTGGTCTTCTCGTTGTAGCGGGAGAGACAGGCGCCAACATTATCACCCAGCTCCTCGAGGTACGTGCCTGAGCAACGGCAACGGCAACTTCAAGACAAGAGCCCGGCTCCCTCGAGTCTCATTACCGGTGGTTTTTATTGCCTGTGGCCCCTGGGGAAGGCACGAGCTCACAGAGGGCTTCTTCTCCTCCGGCTACTGAAGGCAGATCATGTCCTCAGGGATGACATTCTGGATGCTTCCAGGAGACACTGTTTGTAATGGCCGGGTTCAAATGAGAGGAAGCGAGAACAACTGCATAAATACGTTCTGTGGGGGCAATTTGCCCTTCATCAAGCCATAATATTTGAACATTATCACTTTTATTGGAAATTGTGCCTGCAAGGAGAACGCACGATGTTGGAATTTCTGTGATCCTGTTCCAAAACATAACCTGTGACTCCAGGGAAAGTAAAGGCAAGATTCAGAGGAAATGCCCTCTAACTAGCAAGGGTGTCGATTCATTACCCCCTCTGCCGACTCTGGTGCACCTTGGTGTTCTGAATCTCAAGAAGGAGAAATGGTCCTGATGTGCACAGAATACAAAACAGACCGGCAATTTAACAGAAATTCAGGGATAGAAAAGAGATGGGATGAGACCCTGCCCAGACTCTTCATTTAACAAGTTGGGAGCTGAGCCTCCAGGAAGATAAATGAATCGGCCAAAGTTGCATCGTGGAGTAAGGCCATGCTCATTGCTAGGTTTCATGTGTCAGTTTGCGTGAAATTGGAATTCTGTTTTGGAGCATAAAGCAGTGTTCTTCAGACTTCAGTGTGGTTAGGGATTATGTGGGGGATCTGATTAAAACCAGATCCTGATGGGTATGATTAAGATGTTTCTGGGATCTGCCTTTCTAACACACCCCCAGACCGATGCTAATGGCTCACAGATATGAACTTGGGTACACATTGGAATCACTCCAGCAGCTTTAAAAATACTGATTCCTCGGTGTCCATCTGCTCTGGTTTGGATCTATGGTGTCCCCTAAAAGCTCATGTGAGACATTCCTGCAAGAATGTTCAGAGGTGAAATTATTAGGTGATGGGAGTTACAACCTAATCACTGGATGAATCCACTGGTACAGATTAACTGGGAAGCAGCTGCAGGCAAGTAGGGTGTGGCTAGAGGAAATAGATTACAGGGGAAATGCCTTTAGGGTTTCTATTTTGTTCTGGTGAATGTGATGCTGTCTCTTTCTCTCTCCAGCTTCCTGGCTGTCTGTCCTTGGTCCCACCCTCCCGCCATGATGCTCTGCCATTGTCTCAGGCCCAGAGCCATGGAGTTGGCTAACTGTGAACTGAACCTCTGAAACCTGAGCCGGAATGAACTTCCCACGCTCTCCATTGCTCTTGTCAGGTTTTCTGTCATCGTGATGCAAAGCTGTCTAACTTACCGTCGATGAATGGAAAAATAATGAAACACGGTGGACCATCCTGAAGATGTAAAACATGAGTGAAATCCTGCTATTTGTAGCAACATAGACGATCGTGGAGGACATTACGTTAAGAAAGAAGCCAGGTGTAGAAAGAAAAGCATGAGAGGCTCTCACTTCCACGTGGGATCTAAAAGTGTTCTGGAACACTGGTTACCAGAGGCTGGGAAGGGAGACAGCGACCGGGAATGGTTCCTGGGGACAGAGGTGCCCTGGTAGGGGTGGGGGTAACTTCTAGGATTCTGTAGCACAATAGGGCAGCTGGGGTCAGCACCACTTAACTGCACGTTTCAAAATAACTGATTTTGAATTTTCCCAACACAAAGAAATGATAAGTGTTGGAGGTTATAGTTACGTCAGTTATTCTGATCTGTGTTGAAATATCACACTGTACCCCATAAATATATGCAATCATTATGGGCCAATTAAAAAATCAAGATTTTTTTTTTAAATACTGTTTTCTAGGCCCACTCCTGCTAGAGAGCCTGATTAATTTGCTCTGAGGTACGACCTGGACATTGAGATTCTTAAATGCTCCTCAAATGATTTGAATATGTAGCCAAGTTTGAGTATCGCTGCTGTAGATTACTTTTACTTGTAAAGTAATTATTTATGAGGAGGATGGCATTTAGGACGACGTTTTAGAGAATCTGCACCATCCTTTGGTCCCAGTGAGTTAATGAGAGTCGGTTCAGAGAGGTGAGGCTTGGCAAATTAACTATCACACAGTTGGTGAGGAAGCTGACCCTCATGGAAAGCAGTTTCCAAAGTGGAGAGAACAAACAATCATCTTGACGAAGGGAGTTTCCTATAACAAACATCATAACCTAATAGAGGTTAGAAGTCAGAAGACATCAGAAATGTTTGTTAAACATTTACTTTAATATAACAGGAAAACTCTGGTTCTGTTAGTCAACAACAGATTTAGATCCTCCTTCATCCTAACAAGGTAGGGAAGAAGGAGAGATTTAGGCTGATTTTAATGTCAATGGACACCAAACTGCTAAGATAACGACATAAAAGTTATTATCTCAATGCTTTTAGTATTTCAGAGGTGCTCACATCTAAGTCTTTTTTTTTTGAGTTTCACTTGAACTGCTTGCCCCCAAATTCCCATAACTTCTAATTTTAAATTCAGTTTTAATTAAGGCTGAATTCAAGGTACCTTCGGTTCCCCACATCTATGGATTCAACCAACTGTTGATCAAAAAAAATTGGCATCTGGGCTGAGTACATTGAGCTCCTTGGCCCTGTCACCCCCGCCCTCAAATCTACAGTGTGACAACTACTCACATAGCATTTGCATTGTATTAGGAACTATAAATTATCTAGAGATGAATTAAAGTATAAAGAAGTGTAGGCGTATTATATGCAAATACTGTACCACTTCCTATAAGGACAGAGAGCACCCACAGATTTTGGTATCTGTGGGGAGTTCCTGGGAATCACCCCTATGGACACTGAGAGAGGACTGCAGTTAGAAGTCACCATAATTTATTTCCACCCCATCACGAGATCTCTGTGCCCAAAGACTAGCCCTTTGCCCCAGGTGTGTGGGATTCCGTTCCGAGTCTGAAGGCTGTCCCTCTTCTTTACCAAGTTTCCACACCTGAGTTGGGACACCTGTTTGTCAACTGCCAGTCAATCAACACCAACCCTGCGGGAGAGGAAACAGGAATCCCAGTTTCTCATTCCCACATCCTCATCGCTGACGTATTTTCTGGGATCTTTATCATTAGATTACCAAGTTTTCTTCCAGAAGGCACTGAGGCCTTGAAAGTGAATCGATTCCAAAGTTTAAAGAGGAAATCGCCTGAGAGAGAAATGCAGGCTTGTCTTGGGTTAGAAATGGAGACCTCTGCTGATCAGCAAGAATCTCTGGGAGGTCATTTTTATGTATTCTACCTTGGCCAGAAAAAACACTGACCTTGGCAAACAAATCAGAATTCAGATCCCATGAGCTGCTTCTCTTTGGGGTCACCGTCTGTCCTTCAAGCTGGCTTTAAACATCAGACCAAAGTGTTCACTCATCAGAACAGGCGAGCCCGGCTATGGTTTATTACATGTGAAAGTTGCTGCCTAAGACGGTTTAAGCCTTCTTCCCCGGAGCATGCGGTGTATTAGTCACTGGAGTCCATAGAAACAATGCAGAGGGTCTGATTCCCCTGAAAACTCGAGCTCTCTGGGGCATGCTCTAGAAAGATGTGGCAGGAGTGAAGCACAGCTAAGATGTGCCAGGTGTCATGTGCAGAATAATGGACCCCCAAATCCACATGCTGATCCCCAGAAGCTGTGAATGGGTTAGGGTATGTGGCAAAAGTTGCAGATGGAATTAAGGTTGCTATTCCGCTGACCTTGAGGGCAGATATTATCCTGGATTATCTGGGTGGGCCCCACATAATCATGAGGGGCCATAGAGGTGAAAAAGGAAGCAGAGTGACAGAAACAAAGAGGTGAAGATATGCAAAGGACTTGGCCTGATGGTGCTTGCTTTGAAGATGGAAGAACGATCCTGTCTTAGTTGGTTTTCTGTTGCTATAACTGTATGCTGCAGACAAGGTAATTTATAAAGACTCGAGGTTTGCCGCAGTCTGGCTGGGCACAAAATCACGAGCCACTCAAGCAGGAACAAAGTTTATTTTTTGAAACTGCCGCCAATGTCCGGTACCGCCCGGGCAGATTTTTTCCACCCACGCGGCCTCCTCCCGGAAGAGAGCTCCTCCCCCGGAACTCCCTCCTACTGTACTTCCCCAACCAATGGGAACTCTCCAGGAGTCCCGTAGCCGGCCTAGGTGAACAGCAGGAGTCCAATATCCATATGAATGCAAATCTTAACATAATCATATCATCTCAATGGCTAGCTGGCGTCACCTTTCGACCAAAAATGCCATGCATCATATACTTGGCTCTTAGCATCTCCCCCCTTATGTTTAAGTAACAAGCAATCTGACTAGGGACCGTGCCTGTTAGGTTTGTCCAATTCAACATATGGTTCTTACCCGTCATCGGAAAACTGACTTTTAGGCGTTAGCCTCCTGTCTTAGGTTGATACCACTGCAATTGGATCATACCCGTCACTGACTACCGGTCCAGCATATAGCCATACTTGTGGATAGGCCTATGTACCAGTGGGGGGGTGAGGTTCTTTGCCTCACCTCTGTTGGCCCCCAAATTTGGCCTTGGTGCCGGTGGGGGGGTGAGGTTCTTTACTTCACCTCTGTTGGCCCCCAAAATTAGACCATCACTAGTAGAAGGGAGGAGGATACAGAAATGTCATGACACCAAGTCAATTAACGGCTCCTAGGAAAAATTGCATCACTGGTGACACATCAGCAAAGATACGCTAGCACTATCATAATTCACTGCATCAACAAATAGATCACAAAGCATACAAGTGATACATAGTCCAGGCAAGTTCTGTAAGCAGTTCAAAGCAGAGGAATCTATCAATATGTCCATATCCTCCCAAAATAAAGCATACAAGTGATACATAGTCCAGGCAAGTTTTGTAAGCAGTTCAAAGCAGAGGAATCTATCAATATGTCCATATCCTTCCAAAATAAATCGACTCATTGATTGAGCATTACTTGGTGAGTTATAAACCATTGATGTATCAGTTTACACGGTTTGTTGTGATAACTCTCGAAGAAGTTGTAGTTTGGTTTTATCTTTGTCTTCACCGGCACTGGGATGAAAATAGGAATTTTGACAATGATGCTAAAAAAAATATGTAACATTTCAACAGGTAACAAGAAAACAATATTTAGAACAATTTACATTATCCTGAACAGAATAATAAAATATAATGAAAAGGAAAGGTGAAAGTAAACAAACATATCTGTTAACCTTCTATTTGTTCATATATTAAAACAATCCTCAACAGCTGTTTACCCAAATTAAATTAAACTATTAAAATCACGTGAATAATAAAAAAAAATTTTTTGGATCCATGTGCATGAGCGCTTCTCATATGTGATATATGGACATACACACATACAGACATACAACACAAAACAGAAGTGTGCACACGTAACATATAACACATAAGACAATAGTAAAGGCCTTGTAGCTTTACCTAGGTGAAATCTCCATTGCAATGTTCAAAAACTCCACAGTCAAAAAATAAAACTGATCAGAAAAAACATTAACCTAGGTCTGTATGAGCTCAAAAATAAAACAGAACTTTATGATGTGGGAAAAAGCAATAATAAAATAGATATTGAAAAAAGCATCCTGGTTAATCACTGTCGCAGATGTAAGAATAGCCACGCTGGAGATCTGGATATCAGCTGTTATGGATTTGAGTCGAATCATTTTCCTTTTGGCCTGTAGAAATTGTTTTAGTTAGTCTCTCTGGAATCCAAATCGGCTGCTGTTCTCCCTGTGGAAAAACACAAACAGAGCCCCGACTCCAGACTATCACTGGGTCAGGACCTTTCCATTGTCCTGTTAGAATATCTTTCCAAAGTACCTTAGGCTTATGTACATTTTTTGGATACAAATGTCTTTCCACAGCACTAAGCCCTGATGTGCAGCAGTCTGGCTGGGCACAATCAGGAGCCACTTGTCAAAAGAAACTAACTTTATTTTTAGAACCACACACGCCAAACAAAACAGCCTCTCAGGAAAAACCCTCAGAGCCTCAACTGCCACCACCGGCTTTCCACAAGCCTCTCTCTCCCACACAAGCTTCTCTCCACCTCCCACAATCCTCCTGCTCTTGAGGCCGATTGGCTGGGTCACGTGGGTGGAGCCAAAAAAGTCCCCCAATGAGCAGCTCCGTGGTCTGAAAGGGCAGGGAAACAGCCCAATGAGCATCACCGCAGAGGAGCCAATCAGCTAGATGTTGCTGGGGCCGCTGTGAGCCAATCATCAGCCAGCAGCTGGAAGTTTGCTGGCAGCTGGAAGTTTGCTGGGGCCCCTTCGGCTGTGGCTCTCAACATCTCCCCCTCTCTGTTTAAACAACAAGCATGTGGCTTAGGGACCGTGCCTGCCTTAGGTTGTCCAATAGTACATATGGTCCTTAGGTTGGTACCATTGCAATTGGATCTTACCCGTCATTGACTACTGGTCCAGTATACAGCCACACCGGTGGAGAGGTCTTTGTTCCAGCGGGGGGGGGGGTGAGGTTCTTTGCCTCACCTCTGTTGGCCCCCAAATTTTAGCTGGATGATCATGACAAGCAGAAGGGAGGAAGATACACCAAGCCAATTGACGGCTCCTTTTGGAAAAATTGTACCACCAATGACATCATCAGCAAAAATACCCCAACACTACCACAAGTCGCTGCACCAACAGATAGTTCACAATGCATACAGGTGAGCTCACAATGTGTCCAGGCAAGTTCTGCAAGCAGTTCAGTGATGGCTATTGTAGAAGCTGTAGATTGGTTTTATCTTTGACTTCACCAGCACTGGGATGAAGATAGGAATTCTGGCAATAATGGCTAAAGAAAAAATTATGTAACATTACAGAAGGCACTAAAAGAAAACAATTTTCTTAACAATTTACATTGTCTTCACCGGCACTGGGATGAAGATAGGAATTCTGGCAATAATGGCTAAAGAAAAAATTATGTAACATTACAGAAGGCACTAAAAGAAAACAATTTTCTTAACAATTTACATTATCTTTAAGAGAATTATTAAATATAATGAAAAGGAAAGGTGAAAGTAAACAAACAGATCTGTTAACCTTCTTTTTTGTTTACATATTAAAACAATCCTCAACAGTTGTTTACCCAATTTAAATTAAACCATATAAATCACATGAAAAAAAATATTTGGATCCATTTTATCATGAGCGCTCATCATATATGATATATGGACATACATACATTCAAACATATAACACAAAACACAAGTGTGCACACATAATATAATACATACAACACATAACATTATAGTAAAGGCCTTATAACTTTTTACAGGTGAAATCTCCATTGCAATGTTTAAAAACTCTATAGTCAAAAAATAGAACTGATCAGCAAAACATTAACCTAGGTCTGTATGAGCTCAAAAAACAAAATAGAACTTCATGATATGGCAAAGGGCAATAATAAAATAGATATTGAAAAAAGCATCCTGGTTCTGTTGCAGATGTAAGAATAGCCAAACTGGAGTTTTGGATATCAGTTGTTATGGATTTGAGCCAAATCATCTTCTTTTTGGTCTGTAGAAATCGCTTTAGTTAATCTTTCTGGAATCCAAATCGGCTGCTGTTCTCCCTGTGGAAACACATAAACAGACCCCCGACTCCAGACAATCACTGGGTCAGGACCTTGGTTAATCTCTCTGGAATCCAAATCGGCTGCTGTTCTCCCTGTGGAAACACACAAACAGACCCCCGACTCCAGACAATTACTGGGTCAGGACCTTTCCATTGTCCTGTTAGAATATCCTTCCAAAGTACCTTGGGCTTATGCACATTTTTTGGACACATATGCCTTTCCGCAGCACTAAGTCCTGATGAATCCAAATTTAAAAAGTTTAGAGTAAAAAGGGTTATTTTAAGTTTATCTTTGGGGAATATATACCCCTTCCCAATTCCTTCTTTTTGCTTTAATAAGTACATTTTAATAATTTGATGAGCTCTTTCAACTATGCCTTGTCCCTGTGGATTGTATGGGATTCCTGTTATATGAGTAATGCCAAATGTTGAGCAAAATTGTTTAAAAGAGGTAGAAGTATAACCAGGGGCATTATCTGTTTTTAACTGTTTTGGAACACCCACAGTGGCAAAATTTTGTAAGCAATGAGCTATAACATCTTTAGTTTTTTCTCTGGCATGAAGGGAGCCCATCAAAAATCCAAAAGAAGTATCAACTGTAACATGCAAATATTTTAATTTTCCAAATTCTGGCAAGTGTGTGACGTCCATCTGCCAAATATGGTTAGGTATCAGTCCTCTAGGATTGACTCCAAGATTAACTTGTGGTAAAAAGGTCACACAATTTTGACATTGTTTTATTATTTGTCTAGCTTGTTCCTTAGTTATTTTAAAACGCTTTTGTAAAGTATTAGCATTGACATGGAACTTTTTATGAACATTTATAGCTTCTTCTAGTGTAGAGAAAATATGTATGTCATGTGTAGTTTTATCTGCTAAATCATTGCCCAAACTAAGGGCTCCAGGCAATCCTGTATGTGCCCTGATATGTCCTATAAAGAATGGATCTTTTCTGTCCCAGATTAGACTTTGTATAGTGGAAAGCAAAGAGAAAACAGTAGAAGAAGGGGAAATCCTACCAGCATCTTCAAGAGATACTATAGCATTAACTACATACTGACTATCAGAAAATAAATTAAATACAGAATCTTTAAACATCACAAAAGCTTGTAAAACTGCATTAAGCTCTACCTTTTGAGCTGATTGTTTGGGTACTAAAAATGTAAAAGTTTGATCAGGGGTAACTACTGCTGCTGTACCATTATTTGACCCATCAGTGAATATATTTGGAGCATTCATGATAGGTGTTTTTCTTGTCATTTTTGGAAAAATTACAGGATGCAATGACCAAAAAGACAATAAAGGATTAGATGGTAAGTGGTTATCAAATGAAACATTAGATTTGCACATGATTATTGCCCAAGTATTTAACTCATTAGCTAACTCATCAATTTGATTCATAGTATATGGAGTAATAATTTTATTGGGAGAAATCCCAAACACTCCCTTTGCTGCTTTTATTCCTTTGAGTATTAATTGTCCTACAGCCTCAGGATACCTAGTAAGAATAGTGTTAGGAGAATAAGATAAATGCATCCATAATAATGGACCTTCTTGCCAAAATACTCCTGTAGGAATATTTTTTGTTGGTAGTACAATAAATAATAAAGGAAAACTTATATCAATTCTATCCAAATGCATATTTTCCATATATGTTTCAATGATTTTTAATGCCTTTCTTGCTTCAGGTGTTAACATTCGGGGTGAATTTGTATCTGATGGACCTTTTAGGATATCAAATAAAGGTCCCAACTCTCCTGTTGGTATACCTAGATAAGGCCTTATCCAATTTATGTCTCCAAATCACTTTTGAAAGTCATTAAGTGATTTGAGTTGATCTACTCATATTTGAATTTTTGGTGGACGGACCATGGTTGAGGATAATAGAATTCCTAAATAATTAATTGGAAAATTTAATTGTACTTTATCTATTGCTATCTCTAGATTATAATTTTTTAATAAGTTTGTAAGTGTGGCATAACATTCTAGCAATGTGTTTTTATCTTTGTGTGCTAATAATACATCATCCATATAGTGAAATATTTGTAGTTCAGGATTTTGATTTCTAAGTGGCTGGATTGCTTTGTTAACATAAATTTGACACATAGTTGGGCTGTTAGCCATCCCTTGAGGGAGTACTTTCCATTCATATCTCTGATCAGGACCTTCATGATTCAGTGCAGGGATAGTAAATGCAAAACATGGACTATCCTCAGGATGAATTGGAATTGAAAAAAAACAATCTTTAATATCTATAACTAAAACATACCAGGTTTTTGGCAATCAGACAACTGAGGAATCCCTGATTGAGCAGGTCCCATAATAACCATCTCATTATTAATGGCTCTTAAATCTTGCAATAATCTCCATTTACCAGATTTCTTTTTGATGACAAAAATGGGAGTATTATGGGGAGATACAGAAGGTTGTATATGTCCTTCCGCTAATTTTTGTTTGACCAGGTCATGGGCTGCTTGTATCTTTTCTTTAGTCAGGGGCCACTGAGGAACCCATACTGGTCTTTCTGATTTCCAAGTAATTTTTATTGTCTCAGTGGCCCTTTCTGAAAATCCAACCCATGTCTTTCTGTTCCTTGATCTATTTGTATTGGTGCTGCTATACCTTGTTCTTGTTTTTCTAATCTTTTTCCTTTCCTAAAACCTTGTCTAGTCATAATAGTGGGTGCATTTTGGTTGATGTTATTTGTTAATGTCAAACCTAATTGATCTAGGACATCTTGTCCCCATAAATTTACTGGAAGATGATCTAATACATATGGCTGTATAGTTCCTTCACATCCTTCAGGATCCTTCCAATCTAATACCATTGCACTTCTATGGGGATTAGTCGCCACTCCTAGGCCTCGAAGCGTTTGAGTGGCTTGTTGTAATGGCCAATGTTTTGGCCATTCTTGACGAGAGATGATGCTAAGGTCTGCACCTGTATCCA